AATTTAACAGCTTTGTTTGGCACGCATGCAAGCAGGCACACATTATTGTACATAACTAGCACAAACTAACACAAGAATAACAATAAGTAAAAACGTGCCAAAGATGGAGAAGCACAAACGAGACTAGGTCCCATGCATGGTGCTCACCATTAATTAATCAGGACAGCACAGACAAAACAACACATTAATATAGAATAGAAAAAGTACATGAGAAGAAGTAAAGAAATTAAGAGAGAGGAGAAGAGAATGACTGATATAGAAGATATTATTCAGTCGTGATCAATGAGTGTGAGCTAGGTAAGTCAGGAGTGTAAGCAGTGGTAGTAAGTTGGAGGTAAGTCTTGTGGAGGTATGTTTTGAAGGAGGAGGGAGTGTCGAACCTGTTCGAAGGAGCAGTTTTACATACATAGTTCCACAGATTTACAATCCTAACAAAGTAGGAACCCTGGAATGTGCTAGTCTTACAAGCTTGTGATCTTAAAAGCTGAGAAGTTCCCGCACGTGTTCTGCTTGTCGTAGTTTCAACATAATGTTCCACGTCAAGATCTGTCAAATTGTTCTTGCATTTATAATAAAAGATCAGATCTTTTTGTTCTCTATCGTACACAAGCGGGACTAGATTGAGTTTTTTTAACCGTTCCACATAAGAAAGTTCTCCACGTTTTTTCGTTAGGATCCACATTGTTGCTCTCCTCTGGACACCTTCGATTTTTATTGAGAGCTGCCTGCTACTGGGACACCAGACTTCACATCCGTACGTGAGCTGAGTTTTAACCAACGTCAGATATAAGGTCCGCCTAACTTGGGTGTTCGTAATTTCAAAGCATGTTCTTTTAAGAAGACCAAGCATTTTGTTTGCCTTTGCAACCATCTTTAATATATGAGGGCCCCATTTCAGATCGCTAGATACAAGAAGGCCAAGATCTTTTTCGGCTTTGCATGATGATAACTCATTTCCATACATACGGTATGGGAATTCAATCGGCTTCCGTTTTCTTGTAACCGTCAACACCTTGCACTTTCCTGTGTTGAATTTCATCCTGGATTTCGTACTCCATTTTTCCAGCATGGTCAAGTTTTCTTGTAACGACTGACAGTTGTCTACTGATCTTATTTCACTGTATAATTTTGCGTCATCTGCATACAATGCGGTGTTTGTACTCGATGATACATTGTCGGGAAGATCATTTATAAGTATTGCGAAAAGTAATGGTCCCAGAATGCTACCTTGTGGTACACCAGATGTAACAGGAGACCATGAAGATGCTGCGCCCTCGATAACAACTCTCTGCTGTCTGTCGTTCAAATAACTTTCGAACCAACGTAGAAGAGAACCATTTATACCATGTATTTGTAGCTTTTGTAGCAGAATATCGTGATCTACCGAGTCAAACGCTTTCGAGAAATCGAGGTATAAAACATCCACCTGTTTATTGTTATCCAGACTTTTCCATATGTCGTGTAATACACTCAGAAGCTGTGTCACACATGAACGATTCCGTGTTGAACGTTATTGATTAGTACACGAATGAATGGATAGATGTTGTTAAAGACGCATCTCTCGAGAACTTTGGAAACAATTGGCAGCAGAGAAATAGGTCGATAGTTTGTCACCGGTTCGACACAGTCCTTCTTGTGAATTGGTATCACATTTGCTTTCTTCCACTCTCTTGGAACGCGACCTGTTTCTATTGATTTGTTGAACAAACTGCAGAGGCTTGATGATATCTCCTTAGAGCATTCTTTAAGTAGACGTGGTGGTATTCCGTCAGGACCATAAGCTTTTGATGTGTCCAAGTTGTTAAGGTAACGTTCTACTTCGCATTCCGAAATTTCAATACTAGATATTTTCTCACACGTTTTTGGATTCATACAGTCCTGGTTAATGTTCTTTATTGTGGACTTTGGAAGGAAAACAGAGGCGAAGTATTCGTTAAAAAGTTCAGCCTTTTTGTTCGGCGTTGATGCGGTTACGTTGTTATAGGTGTTGGATGATGGAGCATTCCTACTGCGGAGAATATGTTTATGGTAGGACCAGAATAACTTTGGTGAACGTGTGAGCGAATCTTGAACTCTTTCCAGATACTGCTGTCGCTTAGCTTTAATCAAATCTTTGGTTTCTTGTGTCAATTGTCGTAATTTGCGTTTTCTAACTTCTGTTCTTTTCTGCCGATATTTCCGGAGGGCTGTATATTTCTTATTTATTAAATGCTTTACTTCACGATCTATCCATGGTGGTGTATTGATGTTTAGAACTGTCTTTTTAGGCACGAATTGATCTATGGTCTTAAGAAACAGGTCTTTCCAAACTTCCCAGCATTCATCTACATCCGAAAGATGAACTATGGCGGAGTAGAGAGGGACGGACAGGAGATGTTGTCTGACAGCATTGAAATTTGCGTTTTAAAAGTCGTATATTGTTCGTCTTACCGCTTTTGCTCTTTGAAAACAAAGTTTGATGTCGAATTCGATAAGGTAATGATCAGATGGAAATAGATTAGTTGGATTTATACAGTTGACGTTAGTGATGAGCTCCGGAATATTGCAGAAAACACAGTCCAGTTTATTCCCACGCAGATGTGTCGGACCATTGGCCATTTGATACAGGAACTGGTCTGTAATAATCTCGCAAAAAAGCTCTTCTTTGAGACCGCCTTCAGAATTTGGAGAAGGGAAATCCAATGACCAATCAATGTTAGGTAGATTGAAATCGCCGACCAGAACAAGCTGACATGACTCATCTAAACGATCAAGAGAAGCTCTCAATTCCGTTAATATATCTTCATCAGAGTTTGGTGGTCTATAGAAAACTCCTAGAATGAATTTTGAACAATTGGCGGGATAAAGTTCAATCATTATTAATTCACTTTGAGCTCCTTCAAATGAAGTTCTTCTAGATGATCGAATTTCGTTCCTTACAGCGATAAGAACCCCACCACCTCTCGCGTTATCGTGACAATCTTTTCTGTGGATGGTGTAACCAGGTAGGATTTCGTTATCGAGTATTAGGTCATTTAGCCACGTCTCACAAACACAGATAATATCATACTGTTCCAGGTAAACAAGGTTTTGAAATATGTTCAGCTTAGGGATTCTCTTACCGCCATCGTCGGGAGATTCTACGACTGCCTTTAGACTTCGTGCGTTTAAATACAAGGTCCGTAAACAATTCAGTTTTGTCCCACTTTGCTTAATCGGCGTCGGTCCTGGGTTAGGATGCACATCTCCACAAACTAGTATGGCGGTGGTAGTAATGTTGTATGACGCAGAAGTGTTACTGTAGTACTGAATCCTGGTCTTAAGCCATCTGTGTCTTTTTGTAAATGGCGTAGGTATCTTGTTCAACAAGGTTGGTTCTCCAAGGGCAGGGTATAACGGCGTTGCGTATGTATTTATCACTAAATCTCTTTGAGGTGTGGATTCAATGTAAATTGTGAAATAAAGGAGAAGATTCAACATCAACAAACTTTGTAGAAGGTTTATTGCACGCAACATATTTCAATTCGAGAATGACAAGTTTTTAAAATTCTAAATTTACGCACGTGCTCGAATCGAACGCAGTCGTAAAGTCGTTCTTTGAATCACGTATGAGTATATCACGTAGAGCGTTTGCGCACGCCAGAAATCAACCGTCCAACTTGCGCATGCTTATGAACAAACTGTAATATTTTTCTTCAATTTGAAAAATAATTCAACAAAATACTAGAAGAATATTTAAAGTTTCAACAAAATACCTTCAAATTCCCAAAGGTAAACACTTTAGCCGGTAGTTTTTTATAGTTTTCCTTCGCGATGTCATAGTAAGGTGAAAAATTGATCGTTTTACTGAGCGATTTGACCCGCGTCTTGCGCGAGACGCGCGTACTGACGACAAACCAAAGTATATGTTCAGTATACAGTATATGTTCAGGTTTAGAAAGCTGTATAATTTCCGCTCAATATTTGCATCATCAAAATCTCTTCAACATTCATTTCTATTGAGCGAAATGCCCAAAATCTGTTTCCTTTATAACAATTCAACTTTTAACCTTTATTTCTATTTATTCAAACGGTGTTCACACTCAAACAGATTGGTTGCTAAGAGATAAGAAAAATGATTCTTATTGCAACAAAGATCATTGTTGGCATTCATATCTTGATATATTTTGGTACAAGTCTGGTCGTTTGTAATAATGATATCCCTTTTTGTCGCAAGCGGTTCAATGAACTGAGAGAAAACGAGAAAGACTGGCGTAATCGATACTTGAACGGTGAAGGTCAAAATCTTGCTACACTGCGCTGTGAAGCAAATAAAGAATACAATTACGAGAGGATGTGTATGTACAAGAAGATATGCTTTCATATTAATAAAGGTAACATTAAACGAATGAAGACTATGAAATGCAGAATGTTTTTATTACTCTGATGTATCAAAACAGAGATTTATACATGCATAGTTCCAGGAAAGAATCTATATTTTCGATTGTGAAAGACATTTCTTTAAGCTAAAGGGCAACACGCAAACTGACTATAGAATAATTCCAGTAAAGTCCAAATTCAAGAAAGTATTTTGTTTTCATAATTTCTTTTAAAACATATGGAAATCAATATAGGGTCTGCTCACACAATTATCTTCTTTCTTTAAATTGATTGTAGTTCTGTAGGAATTCAGAAGGTGCAACAAGTGTCTCTATATAATTTTTCTACTGCTTTTCTAGTCTATAGCAGTTTTAAATATTTGTAGTAATGATATAGCAATGATAAATATTTCTAGTTTTGTCCACGAAACAAAAATGTAAGGGGATGACTTACAGTTCCTTAAGTCGTTCGCCAAAGATTTCAGAAATTGGTTCCTGGCGTTTCCAAATTTTATGCTTTCGATAAATGTTAAATGTGTGTAAACATTGTCTTTGACACACATTCACTCTTAAACAAAATAAGTAAATAGCTTTTTATAGTTAAAGAGTAAAATATAATAAAATATGAATTTATGTTCTCTTGCTAAACATTTATTGACTTAGTTACAAATAGTCTGTGCTAATATGTCGCTCTTTCTGAAGGACTCCCTGCTGAACCCTACTTGCTGATTAAATCAACGTCTGAAATCCACGCCATTGATTTGACAACCCCAAAGACAACTGTGGCAACCCAAACGACAAATATCGCAACCCTAAAAACAACTGTTGCAACCCTAAAGACAAATGTCGCAACCCTAAAGACAACTGTTGCAACCCTAAAGACAAATGTCGCAATCCTAAAGACAACTGTCCCAACCCTAAAGACAACTTTCATAACCCTAAAGAGAACTGTCGCAATCCTAAAGACAACTGTCGCAATCCTAAAGACAACTGTCGCAATCCTAAAGACAACTGTCACAGCAACCCTAAACACAACTGTCGCAAGCCTAAACGCAACTGTCGCAGCAACCCTAAACACAACTGTCGCAACACTAAAGACAACTGTCGAAATCCTAAAGACAACGGGCGCAAACCTAAAGACAACTGCCAAAACCCTAAAGACAACTGTCGCAACCCTAGAGACAACTGTCGCAACCCTAAAGACAACTGTCGCAACCATAAAGACAACTGTCGCAATCCTAATGACAACTGTCGCAGCAACCTTAAACACAACTGTCGCAGCAACCCTAAACACAACTGTCGCAACCCTAAACACAACTGTCGTCATCAGTGGCCTTGCACGTGGGAGGATGGAAATTGACACCGTGGACAACAACTTATACATCGCAGACAGCAACAGCATATCAAGGGTAAACTTGGTTGACATGTGCGTAGAAGTCATTTTACAAAATTTAAGTGTTGATGACATTGCAGTTGACTGGATAAAACGACGTCTATACTGGGCTGAATATTCAAAAAAGCAGATTTCCGTAGCGAATTTGGATGGAAAAAATAAAATTGTGCTAATGAACACAACGAGTTACCCGTCCGGTATAGCAATGGATCCAACATGGAGGTAAGTTTATTGATTTGAAGAATTTCTTTATGGTGTGCTATATATTTGATGACGAATTATTGCGAATCATGCCAAGGGCCGTGAAAATGAGGGGGGGGGGGGAGGACACTGGGGACCGGTGACCCCACTTTTTTGAAAATACAAAAACGCGGCTTTTTTCAAACGAAAGTGCATGCCCGTTTTACATTATAAAATGTTCTCTATTTTAGATAAATACAGTATGTTAGACAAAGTTTGCTAGTTATTTGGAAGCCTACGATCGGTCATAAAAGTTAAGGTGCAAAAATGCGACCAAAGACGATTGGAAATTTTTAATTTATGTTGACTTTAACATCCACATCTCATTTATTTTTTTATGTTACATTACTTTTTGTGTAGAATGCGCATACGTTGAGGACAAATTTTAGGACAAAATCCGGCGTTCAGAATACAGGAAATGGCATTTCCGAGTTCAAAAATTCAAACGTTTCCTGGGAAACCGAATCCCCTTTTTGTGCAAGGTCCAGGGCAACGGTAAAACTTCAAAATGGATCCGGCCCGGGAGTGCCCTTCCAACTCAGAGCCACCTCCCCACCCGCCCCCTCCACTTTTGAGATGCTCTTGCGGCCTCAACCTTGTTCCCAGGCTTTTTCCTCTTAGGAAGGAGATAATCATGGCGTTGCGGCAGTTGCGCTATTTTTCGCTGAGTCGGACCATACGCAACCGAGAAGACAGGGATGGCAAATCGGTAACATTAGCACTTTGTCCTACGTTTCCAATCCTTGTCTTCCGAATTCTGTATTGTCGGATTTCTATGTGGTCTCTATTCTGTGACAGAGAGATTATGTTAAGCCAATAAGCCAATAGATTTTTAAATGATGAATGTACATCCTCTCCACGAGGTTGATACTCTTCATTTAGATTTCTGTAATAATTAATTCTTTGTAATTGTTCATGGCGATAGTACAATACAAGTTTTACTTTGCATAGTTTTCCCGTTTCACTCCTCATAATAGTACTGTTATTTCATATTGGGCTTTATAATATTTTCATATTGGAAAGAAGTACTTCAGTGCATTTTCTCTTTCAAAAGCTGTAGGGAGGTAGACAATTTGTATTTATTGATCAAGACAATTACGAAATGAAACGTATATATAAAAGAACATATTCACTACCTAACCGGTAAACTCATAATAAAATATATACATTCCACATTACATGTGGTTATATACAATCTTTGTAATCAGTCTCAAAATTTATTCTTGAAATTGATTACAGAATATGTTTGCTATGGACGTTCGGCAGCATTTTCCTTAGAATACAGCAACTTGTAATTATTTAGTACCAACTTATTTAACAAACAGATCATCTAAGGAGAAGGAATTTAGTAAAAACCGGGGCAAAAACATTATGAGTTGTACCCATCTTTTAATATTATCGTTCTTCGTTGCTCCATAGGTTTTTTTTTTGGACCGAGCCTATTGCAAAGTTAGTACGGGGAATACGTTTGGCTCCAAAGTACACAGTAATGTTGGCAAACCGTAAGTTCTCGGAACCTTACGCTATTACTGTTGATTGCACTGAGAAACGAGTTTACTGGCTCGAGAACGAGATTCAATCCGGCGTTGACCATATTGTTTCAAGTCAATACAATGGCGTGGATCAGAAAACTATTATAAGTGGATTATTCAATGATTATTTACTGGGCGTACTTGGAGATTTACTGTACTTCCTGAACAATGATCCATTCTATGTAAATGAGATAAATATATCAAACGGAAATATATCTCGCAATATTCTGGTGGACAACAATTCATATTACAATGATCTGGTCGTTGTACATAGCTATATACAGCCTCAACAGCGAATGGGTGAGTTATAATAATCATCATAATATTGCTGAATATTCATTGATTGCCACCACATTATGAAGGCCAAAATTGAATCTCAAACTCATGAGTAAATTAGCCAACCATATTGCTTTATTTTGGTCACATGATAATACTGGATACCTGGTGAAGTATATTGATCCGGTCCTAGGACCGCATCAAAATTAATTCACCTCACTTTAAGTAGTGATTTATTCATACGAGAAGTCATTTCAAATCCAATTCGGACTGGACTACTAATTTCAAGACCTCAAATTGATCAAACTGCGCGGACTTGAAATCTAGTCCAGTCTTCATAGTCGGATTTGAAATACTACTTAAAGTTTAGAGACAATCGTCTTAGAGCCACTTCAGTCCGTGATAATGTGATAAAGCAAATAAACTGAAAACGAGGCTGCGTGGCAAAAAGTAACACAATGGACAAAGACTAAATTCAAAGTTCACACACAAAAACGCACAAGTTGTAACAAACCTGCAGCAGACTTGTAGCAATGGTGTTTCAAAAACTTGTCAACAGGATGTGTTCACACTGCTTGTTCCCAGCTTGTTGACAACTTGCTACAAGTTGGTTGAGCTCAACAGACTTGTTACAAGTTGTGCCGACGTATATTGTTACCGTCGAGGTTATCGTCCTGCAACTCAACAATTTTTCAACAAGTTGTGAGTGACAAACTTGTAGCAACTTGATAATATAACAGCATTGTTACAACTTGTTGACAACTTGCCACAAGTCTGTTGCGAACACATCTTGTTGAGACATATAGTATAGTTCGAGTCAGGATTCGAGCCAGGAGCCCAGTCAGACTCAGTTCTGGACTCGAGGACTCGCTACTAACAATTTATTTTATGAGATATTAAATTAATGAAGTTGCTACGATGTCGGAAAAATTTGGTTGTAGTTTCAAAGACATACTAGAGTCAAGCATGGAAATTTGAAACATAACGTGCAAACCCAACACCATAAACTTGACAAATTAAACCGTAGATATATTAGGTATAGATAGTAAAAAAAACCAAGAAACTAAATACCAAAATCTGTGATGTCACATTCAGGTAGTTAGAGTGACATTTACTATATCAAATTCAAAAGTACAACTGTCATGATTGTCATCTTTGAATTTTGTGAAATGACATAGAATATCGGTATCGACAATATGCTAGTTTCCATCTGTCAGAATAATAATAATAATAGTCTTTATTAATCAATACTCGAAACACGCGTCCGAGTTTACATGGAATTATAAGAATATAGTCTATTTTACATTAATTATTTACATCAATAATTTAATAAAACTAGTAAAATTCTACAATATTGTTAAAAATTATTAAAATGTATCATACACTAGATAAAATTGAAAAGACATTTACTTACAAAAGATTTTTTAAATCTTTCAGTTCTTACTAAGGGCAGCTCAAAGTCATGTCCCCTTTGCCTTAAAGTTCGATTTAATTTATTTGGTAAAAGTTCTCTTAGTGCATTATTTTCATCATCTAATATTTTTTCTCCATAATCTCTTGTCTCTCTTATTGATTATTTCTCTAAAATTAGATTTCTCTGTTACATACCCATTAAGGTATGCACGATTTATAAACTTATCAATCTGACTAATGTATTTGATGTAAGATGCTCCTCCCCAAAGTTCAGTTCCGAAAGTGAATAATGACATTATTAAACTCTGAAAGAGAAGTTCTAACTGCTTTGTTGTAAAACCATAATATTTACACACCCGTAAAATGTACATTCGGCCACTCGATTTTTTAAACATCTCTTCGAAGTGTATGTCCCAATTTTCCGGTATTTCCTCAAGGGTAATTCCAAGTATCTTGAGCCATGTTTTCCGTTTGATGGACGGAATGCAACTGGGTAGAGGTATAGATGTTTTCCCACGAACAATCATTTCGTATATTTTATTCATACTCAGCACCATTCGATTTTCATCAGACCATAATTTCATATTTTCTACCTCTTCTGCACCTGTATCATCCTTATCATAGCCCGGGGCTTCTATTGTTATATCTTCTATTGTTATATCAACGTCATTGAATCGGCTTGAGTCTTGTCGGCTCGAGTCCTTGACTCGAGTCCCGGCTCGAGTCCTGGCTCAAATCCTGATTCGATATTTAGGTACCCTCCATCTTGTTGACAAGTTGCGAGATTTTTACGTGTGTACTGCGACTGCCACCTTAAATATAGGTTAACATCTAGAAATCGTCAAGTGTGTCACTTTCTTTTATATCGTAAATGACTCGAATTAACGATTAAGATTCAATGCTACCAATATTTTTTACTTCAACAACTTGCAATTACCTAATTAAAGTTATTCATCACTATAATATTAGCGGGCATATAGCTTTTTCCGGGTAAAGAATAAATTAATCAGCAGACTAAGATAAATTTCAGCCTGCTAAAGCCATTTTTACAGTAGATGGCTGCCGGTAGTTGTTTCACATTTGTAATGAGAAACGACTGATCATAAGCAATCATAGAATTTCAAAATGTGGATGGGTTTTGCATGTAGATGGAAATTTATAATTCATATTTTTTTAATTGAACTCAAACGAAAATGGAACTTTAGGCGCCCCGGCAGGAATTGAAGCTGCGACCAAGGGATTCCGGTGCAGTGCTTTGACCATTGAGCTACAGAATACAGTCGCTGAACAATAACCAGACGTTTTTGAATATATATACTCGCAGCTGAACTGGTTAGGCCAATAATTTTCTATAAATTTCTGAAAAAAAATTCCAAAAACCCCTCCAATAGTCACTTCTTTGAGCGACATGCCCACGCTATAGACTCTAGGTTCCCCAACACGAGCGAAGCAGCTCCCTGCCACGCCCCTGTTTAAAACCCCCGCTATCTAAAACTGTTTTGTTTCTTTTGGCGCTGGGGTTGCACTGAACTCGTAAAGGTCTAAAGATTTTTGTTTATTATATATTTGTACAAATATACAACCTTCTTTGCTACCAGTTACTTTGTATCCATATCAGTTTTCTGTTGATTAAGTTGATACTTATGTTTGATAAAGAATAATTTCCTGAGAACTGGGAATCGAACCTGTTGCAATAGTATATCTGTAATAATAGTAAGATTATTGTACATGTATTATAACAATTACGGGCGAGATAACAAGAGAAATATATATTTAGGCTCACTTCGCAAGTCAGTGATATTGGCAATTGAGAGAATCGAACTTCATAATAAGCTGGAAGAATGGTTGCCAAGACACGGATATTGGAGAATATGTTGGAGAGCCAGCGAACATGGTTGGGCAAGCAGGACATTTCATCGGAAATGCGACGGGAAAGTACCCACGTTAACTATCGTTCAAGTTGTCAAAAATAATAAGAATTTGGTCTTTGGTGGCTACGCTACAAGATCATGGGGTGAAAGTCGTTTTGAAAGTAAGTTAAATAGGCATATATATGCAGGGTGTATAAAAAACGGAACAGTTCGAAAATATTCCCTAAACTGCATTTTCCTCAAAATTTGTGAAAGCATTATGTAAGCATGGATATAGTTGGGTTCTGCTAGTATCTTTACTAAAATTATTTTGAAACGTAATTTTCGAGAGCAGAAGAGTTGTTTTTAAAAATCACTTTAAAAATGGCTTGCGTATAATAATAGAAGGCTTAAAACGCAATTTGAGTTCATAGGATGCAAACTTAGAAAGTGTTTTAAGAACTATCAAAGTACTAGATAATCTGATTTACATAAAGTCCAACGCGCAACCTCTAAAACTTGAACTTTTTAGTCATAGTAGCCTTTCACGCTTAATTTATTACACGCGCGACTTATTTTATGCATGATTTGATTTTTTCATCTTTACAAAAATTATGCGTGAAAGGCTACTATGGGAGAAAAGTCCACGTTTTAGAGGTCGCGCGTTGGATTTAGTGTACATCAAATTATCTGATACTCCAATTGCGTTTTAAGCCTTCCATTCTCGTGCGCAAGCCATTTTTAAAGCAGCTTTTAAAAACAACTTCTGCATTCGAAAATGATATCAAAATAATTTTAGTAGTAAATGTACTAGCAGACCCCAAACTACCCATGCTTGCAGTTGACGCACCCTGCAGTATTTAGAATCATATACTTATATATTATCAGGGGCGTAGCCAAGGGGGGGGCAAGGGGGAGCTGTCGCACCCCCAATCGTTCGAGAAACCATTTTTCTAAAACGTTAAAATCCGGGTAGAAAATTGGGGGGGGGGTTATCTCATGGTAAAAGAAGACCAGTAAGCCAGAAAAAATGGGGAGAAAACTACTGAGTTAATTTATATCTTTTGGGAAAATTTAGCACGCAAGTACGTGAATTAAGTACGTGTATCGGAAATGTCTTAATTTTTTATGTGGTTGAAAAACTAGGTATTAGGCTTACATCAAGTTCCATGCTGTTTTAATTGCAAAATCAAAATGGCGGAAGTTCCTTCAGATCTGATGAATTATTCATATGATTCTTCCGCTCCATTGCCTACAGGGAAAGAATCGAGAGATCACGTAATAAGCAAAGGGCCATGCCAGCCAAAGAATATTTTTTTTCTGGAAGACAAGCGAAAACGAAAATTTTCGGCATCTTGGTACGATAAATTTAAGTGGCTGGAATATTCAGCGGCTAAAAATAAAGCATTTTGTTTCTATTGTAGAGTCTTTAATTCCCAGGTATTAAAACGTTTAGTATATTTGTGATCGTGTATTATAAGTTGTTTAGCTGAATTTGTCAATGTATGACATTAGTTTCCAAACATTCTCATTTTTTCAAATGGGGAAAAATAATCTACTCAGTTTGTCTATAAATGGCTGCATGGCTATATATAATGTGTTTAGGTTGCATTAAAAGGCGACCCAGCCTTCATAAAGGTTCGATTTGGAAATTGGAAGAAAAGTGACGTTTTCTCGAAGCATGAAAAATCAGATTGCCATCGGCATTCCAGCCAAGCATATCGTCAATGGAAATATAAAAAACCAGTGGATCACCAAATTAATGAAGAAGCGGCGAAGCAAGAATCGTATCGCCAGCAATTGGTTAGACATGCAAGAGATGTATAAATATTTGTACAAACATGTTTACCTGATATTTCAAACTTAAAGGCCTGAGGTACTACCTTCTCGATTAAGATATTGACATGTTGCACATGAATTATGTTTTAGGTGAGAACAAATAGAAGTGTCATTGGGAAAATATTTGATGTCGTTCGAACTGTTGGCAAGCTGAACTTGCCTTTCAGAGGGCGTCGTGAGGATGAGCAATCAATGAATAAGGGTGTATTTAAAGAATTTATTAATTTATGTGAAAAATCAGAGGAAAATTAATGCCGGAGGAGAAGAAAAAAGAGAGTATACCCTTAAGAAGCTATCTGATACCAGATAGGCTTGTCGTGCAGACAGTATAGTAGGAATACACCGTACTTTAGATGCTGTAATTGCAACGCTAAAGGAGGTTAGGGAAAATGAAACAAAGGCGGCCATTGCAGCTGAGGCAAAGGGACTGCTGCAAAATGTTGAAGACTTCGAATTCATTGTTGCTCTAGACGTAAGTTGAATAATTGAACTGTTATTTTTTTAAAAAAATATGCGTATAATGAAAACTGTTCTTTTTAATTTGTTTTATTTTATCGCAAGGTGCTAAAAAAGGTGCTGCTTCTTAGTAAAGGGGTTTCAGACAAGCTTCAGTCCGAAAGCCTCGACGTTGTTTCAGGATGTGAGAGAGTAGCTGATCTTCTTACTGCAATTAAGGCTCTTCGATGCGATGTGAAGTTTAAAGATTTCTGGCTTGCAACCCTGGAGAGATGCGCAAAATTGGGAATCGAGGAGCCAAAAGAAAAGCGTCCTCGCAAGATTCCTCGGAGACTGGATGAAAACCCAGATACAGCCGCCCAGGTTTCAGTCAAAGACAAGTTTAAAATTTTCTTTTTCTACAATGTGAGTTTTTAAAACGATTCATAATGTGACCAATGTCTTAGAGGTGGTAAATTTCACAATCTTTATTTAATTAGGTACTGGACCTGATGAGCAACTCGATTGAAACTCGTTTTAACATGGAAAATACAGCTGTCCTCAAAGGCCTCGGATACCTACATCCTGCTCGAATATCGCATTCACAAGCATGGGAAAGCATTTCTGTAGCGGTAAAATGGTTCCAGAATGATATTGATTTGGAGAGTGAAATATTTTCGTTACAGCTATCATCATTGGTAACAGACGTCATTGAAAAGGCCGTATCTGAGAAACGGAATCCCGATTTTCTTGATTTGTTCAAGGCTTTACAGGCTGAACCCCAGTGTTATGCTTGTGTTAGCAAATTGATGAAAATTGCTTTAACACTTCCAATCACTTCATGTAGTGCCGAAAGAGTGTTTTCGAAGTTGAAGATAGTCAAATCGCGACTGAGATCTACTATGAATCAAAACAGGCTTGAAAACCTTATTCACATGTCGGTGGAAGTGGATTTGCTGGAGAATCTTGACTTGGACAGCCTAGTTCAGAAGTTTACTGATTGTGCTCCCAGAAGAATGAATTTGGTTTAGACTTCCTGGCAAAGGCTGTTTAGACGAAACATTTTATGAATTTTATATTCTTTAACGACCATTGTTTCATATTGACTTATTTACTGGTCTGGACTTTTTTAACTTACTATTAACAATAGAGGTATACAGTTTTTAAACCGTATGCCTACAGAAATTAGAAAAAGCTTGTGTTTGGCTGTTGCTGTCATGCAAAGTTGATGTAGACTTCTCTGCATATTTATCTGCATATTTTATAACAGTAATGATCCCATGAAAAAAACTTGTTTTTTCAGGCGAATTATTAGTTCAATAAGTGAGTGTTAAAATTTACAATTTATCGCCCAATCATTTACATTTCCCATATAAGGCAGGTAAGGATACGCGAATTACGAAATTAATAAAATAATCGTTTCCATTAACTTGATATGGATGGTCTCGTAAATTTTCTTGCTTAAACCTCCAGAATGGCGGAATCCAGAATTTCAAAACCCTAGAATTTTAAATTTCCCTGGCGGGGATGTCACCCGACACTCCTTAAATGCGCTCGCCCCCCTCCCCCAAAGTCAGGGCTCTGGCTACGCCCCTGCATGTTTGTGGATGGTCAAAAGTAATATTTTTTAACATTTAATACACAAAGCAAACAATCGTATATTTTACTCACCGCTTGGCCAAACATTCTGTATTTCGTATCGAGAAAAACTTGAATATTTCTTGAACTTTTTGGAATTCGCCACCAGTCAATGAAGTAAAATACTCCTTGTATTCAAACGCTTTCGTGTAGAAAATTTCTTTTGAATACGGCCAGTAGAAGTATTTATTTTTAATTTTTCAAAATATCGGCTTTTTACTCGCACAGTCGCACGCGCCTGTCACACGCTGATGTTCGGGAATTAGTTCACAATCAGACCAGGAATGGAAATACCAAAATGAAAGATGCAGTTTTCAAGATACAAGCGCAAAAATAACACTCTAAGTAGTGTTTTGAATTCGCTTTCGAACAAGAGTAATACAAAGAGGATGCGTCCCAAGGAGCCGAAGTTATGTTCGCCTAAAAGTATGCCTAGTTTATATTTATCAAGTGTAAACATTGCGTGACTTGATTTTCATATACAAAATCCCGCTTGACTTTCAAAGGTCATAATTCACTATAGTGTTGACATTTCACTAAAACAATCGATAGAAACTAGGAGATAGTTTTGTACTGAATCGAACGGTGGTATTTTCATCTACATAGCATATATTGAATCAAAGATACGAACCTCCACATAAATCAAGTCGAAACCGACTGAAGGTCACGTTTGTTTGTAAATATTGCTGAAGTTGAAATAGTTGAATTGTATTTTCAGTCTTGATAATTTAATAATGGGTCTGTATGCTATACATACTCATTTTTTTCTTTTATGCAGTTTTGGACACATTTCTAAAAATACAAATGTCAAATATAAATTTAAATAAAAGTTTCTTCGCTTGCAACCAAAACCTGTTCGCTATATACGTTGTTTCCATGCATTGTTTTATACTGTAGATGGAGACCTTGTCTAGAAAAAATGCCGATGTTTTCTTGCAAACTGAACATAACACTTTCTTATTTCGTAGAGCTAGTAAATAATCTCTTTGTCAGCTTGTTGCAGTATTATTGTAAAGAGATATTTTCTCAGTCATTTTGACTTGAATTTTCCCTTTGATAATTATACGCCCCCCCCCGGTTTACCGCAATATTGGGTGTGGCATCGTGCAGAGGCTTCGCGCCTTCATAGCCAAGTAAAGCCTCTGCGGAGGAGAGAGATGCTTTGCGGCCTGCTGTCCAACCTCCTCTGACAAGTCATTACAGACATTAAAAGCCTTAATTTAAGAGGCTGTCTCTCTAAGAACCGACCAATGACTCTCGGCTCAAAAAATGAAATTCTCCGTTGCTTTCACAATGAAATGTATTTAGCACAAGAACAAACAAACACTATTTGGAATTTTGAAATTTTATTAATTTTTTAAATTTCAGCGATTTTTCAGTCCCGCGCCGTCGGGCAGAAAATCCTCTGCCTATATCAGGCATAAATATTAGCCGAATTCAAATACATATAATCTTAAAACTATTCAACCAAATTTTATGATTTTTTCACCCACCAACGTGAAAATTATTCTACTTTCAAACTTGCCTTGTTTTATGATGCTTTTACAGAACGATTATGGCAAACTTCAGCGATAACAAGCACCGGGTCGAAATACGGCTTTATACTGGTATCAAATTCGACTTTAAATTTCTCAAAAGTGGCACCTAACTGGATTCTAGGACTAATATAGTTTAAAAAGGGAAATAAAGCAGTCGGCTAGGAAAGGCTTTTATAATTTTGGGAATTTTCAAGTAAAAATTCCAATTGAATACCTGGGGATGATAGGATCGAAGAAATTTACTTGCCATTTTGTCCTGGCTGCAGGGGACTTCACTGAATTTCACACACCAAATTAAGTGAATGCCCCTGGTATGCCCGAGGTGGGGGTCTCGAATTCTTGTGTCATATTGGATGAGATCATGAATTTACACTGTTTCCTGTCAACAGTTCAGAATAGAATACTTATTCTGTTGACTTATTGCAAATCTTGTAAGAACTGAAATTATAAAATAAACTATTATTATTGACAAAACTGAAAATTTGTATATGTATATGCAGGCTTCTAGCCAGGAGACACCCTACCATGTCTGTATAAAAATTGATTTTAAACAAACCATTACAAAAATGACATAAAAGTTGCTTTGTATTCTGAAATTCTGGTTTAAGCCTCCTGCTATAGATATATTGAACTGGAAAACTTTTCATATTTTTAATGTGGAAATGTGTAGTAATATATTGATAAATCAGAATTTTAACCCCCACCTCCCTTACCATCACTCGGGTATACATCCTGTTGTGGTGGAGATTTAGATTGGACACCTGGATAGATACTAGAAAATGCTTAGTCACACTTCTGGATAATTGGGGGGGGGGGGCAATGAACTCCCTGATGTGAAATTGTAAGAAATTTAAAAATTGACCAGTGATAACTTGACATTATGTAAGGGAGTCAAATTTGCTAACACTTAACCCTCCAATCATTGGCTGGCCCATTTGGCCTCAAATGATTTGGCCCCTATCTGAAACAGAATGTGCACTTGCATGTAGAAAATATATTGGAATGCAAAACACATTTCCCTGAAACAATTAACATACATTGGGCCATACAGTCATGCACATAGTTTTGACTGTCAGATGTATAAAGCAGCATAGTGAGTTGCATTCATGGCCAAAGACATATTAGGTTAATTATTTTACATAATTATTTTTCGTCATTTGCCACGCATGTAATCGGTGAAGGATTCAGGATTATCCGGCATGGAAATAACGTTTTAAACGTGCTATATAAAACGGTGTTCAATATTCATACTACATGATGGGCATATGGCCAAACAAACACCTTGTGCTTTTTTGCTCAAATTTACGCACGCATGATTTTGTGTACATAATATAGATTTAAATCTAGCAATTCAAATCCAAAACTCATGGGGTCATGCATGACATCTATCTATAATGTATATTTTCTTGAAATGTTAGGTGATTCATTGTTATTGCCGTTGTTGTAACCCAGTAAACAGACACACACCGCCGTTTAGACATGTCACATGTCGTTCTTGTTCCTTTTATATACATACGATAGACGATAAAGCTTCGAATTACTTCTCTTTAATTTCCAGTCCGGCTTTGTCCAGTCTTTGAAGTGACTTTACAAGCGCGTGTTGAAACAGGTCATCTGTACAAGAACCCGTGATGTTTCGAATCACAGCGGCCACTTCGAGCACATTTCGACTCGATCATGTTTACATCATACATGAAAATTGATACATGTAATACGAGACCGAA